AAGGTCTGCCAAACCCAAGTTCAAATATAACTTCTGCCATGAACTAGTTGTATAAACATGAGCAAATTAACCTCTCCGAGCTTCAGTTTACTCTTCTATAAAACAGGAAAAAAAAAAAAAAATAGCAGGGAAGGGAACAAGGCATAATACATCATATAGTCTTCAGAGCCCCTCAGACACACGTTCGAATGTTCTCCCCGGTGCTCGAATTGTGTGATTTGGGGTAAAATCATTTCACTTCTCAGAGCCTCTGTTTCTTTTTTTTTTTTCCAATATTTTATTTTTGGCCCCCCTCCAAGCCCTCATCCCCAGGTGTTTTCGCCACTGTGGTGTGGAGAGTAGGCTGGGAGCAGGGCTATTTGGAGCTGGTTTTTTCGGAGGTGCCCCGGAGGCAAGGAGACAACTCTGCTCCCTCCCTCTAGGTTTGGAACCAGAACCTAGTCTCCCCGCCTTTATTTCCAAAACAGTTCCTGGCTCAAGCTGCTTCAGGAACCTCCAGGCTCCAGCTCTGAGAAATCCCTTCCTCCCTGCGTGTTCCAGAGCCTCCACCCTGCCACTGGGGCCCACCCTGGGCCAGCATCACTAAGCGGGATCACTCAGTGAGCCCCCCTCTCAGCTCACTTCCTCCACCCTCCCTCCCTCCCTTGTCCCAAATATTCGCAGTTTGCAACTTTCCAAACTATTTCAAACCTGCTTTGAGAAGTCGGTTTCTCTTCTGGGGCCCCAGATGTGTCCCAGCTCACAAGTAACACTAAGACCAGTTTTGTAAGATTCTCATCAAGTAGACAAGGGAAGGAGATGGAGATTCCTGGGGCCTGGGGAGTGCCTAGGACAGTTTTCCAAAGTCCATCATGAATGTAACTTCCACCGAGTTTGCCTCCCACCTCCCACTATCGTTTATGCAGCCCATGTGGAGCCCAGGTGGCACCAAAGGTGAGACTTCTACCTGTCCCCCAGTGCAGGTGTAAGGCTGGCTGGACCACCTGCCCCCCTTCTCAGCTCACCTCTTCCCAGCCTGAAGGAACGAGGGGAAGGAGAAGTAAAGGGACAGACAGCAGGGGGATTCTTGTTTCTTGGCAGGAACAGGGCTAAGCTCCTCGGCCCGTCTGGGCCTGGCAGACAGGGATGATATCTCTTTTGTTGGGGGCCTTCTGCGGGCTCCTTGGCGGTTACCAGGTTGAGCCCTCTGACTGTAACAGCCGTGAAGCGGGCCACCACACTTTCTTTTGCAGGCAAGTCCAGGCCTCACCCTCAGCTTCTGGTTTTCGGGCATCCACCCTGCATGGTTATCACTGCTGGGCCCCTCACTTTCTGTCCTGGTGCCTCCAGCTCAGGCTGGCTGGGGCTGCGGAATGTCTGGCACCTTCTGTCTGCCAGAGAAGGCGAGAAGGCAGTCAGCCCCCTTTCTGTGCAGCTGAGAGCTCTCTCTTCCCCCTTTCATGCAGCAACCAGCCACTTTCCTACCCACCAGCTTCCAGAGGCAGGCCTCAGATTCATTTCCACACCCCCTTCCCTTCCCCACCACACGGGTTGCATTTTATTCAGTAAAATCCAAGAGTGCCCAGAGTCATGGAATGAGCTCTCAAACTATTCCTTTGTCATTTCTTCACTTTGGCCTGACCTCTCGATTGAGCATGCAGCCTCTCGTGTGTCCTGGTGCTCAGGTGAGAATTTCTATTTTAACACCCTCCTTCCCTGACCCACCAAGTCTTTCATTGCACCCTCTCCCAAGGGCTAGATACCCAGAGCTAACCTTTGCCCCTGTCAAGTCCCTTTCTTTACGTTGTGCCACAGGCCTTCCTTGCATCCTAGCAGATGCTCTGTCTCAAGGTCCCTGGCGCTGTGGTCCTGTCTAGGGGTTTCCAAGGTTTCCATGCTTATTTGTGGAGGCTTGCTCAAGTTTCTTTAATAATGGGTGTGCACTGCCACAGAAGACAGTGCTCTTTGTGGAAAAGTGATAATAGAAAGGGGTATAGAGGCATGAAAAATGTACTATCACCAAACTGAAACTTTTTTCTTCAATTCATCAGGATTACAGAAACTGAAAAGACAATAACTTTGTTACTATATGATGTCATGTTATTTAAGGCAGTATCTGGTACTAGATCATCTCTACCTAGCCAGGGACACCTCTGTGACATTTATTCTCTGAGGTCCAGAGAAGGAAAGTAACTTATCCAAAGTCACCAGGTTGGTGAGCCTTGGAGCTGGAACTAGACCAGGCCCCCGAGTGGCAGCGCAGTGCAGTGCTGCGGTCTCCCCTCCTCTCCCTGGTGGGGGAGGCCTGGCCTTCTCTCCCCTTCATCTGTTCCCAGGGTTAAAGATTTGGAGGGGTCAGGAGGAAAGATAGAATCGGCCTGTTTCCAGAGGTGGCGCAGTGGTCTGGACAGGCTCCCAGGCCTCAGGCAAAGCAGCATGTGAAGGGAAGGGAGGTGGAGGGCCCAGGAGGGAACTGTGAGCTCCAAGGGTGAGACCTGAGCAGTGGTCCTCCCCTACTGCCAGTGCCACGGCTGCGGGGAGCCCCCTCATGCTTGAAGGCTGTGATGAGGCAGCTGAAGGCTGTGCAGGAACGGAGAAGCCAGCAAGACTTCATATCTAGTAAGAGAGGGCCAAGTGGAGTCTGAAAGTCTCAGTCAGCATCAGAGGTGAAGGGGCTTAGAAATCATCTAGTCCAGTGGTCCTCAAAATGCGTCCGTGAACCGACAGCATCAGTGTCCCTCACATACCACATAATAATGCAAATCTTCCAGCCGCAACGCGGACCTACCGAATCACAAACTCTGGGGGTGGGACCCAGCAGTCTGGGTTTGGACAAGCCCTCCAGGTGGATCTGATGCATGCTCGAGTGTGGAAACCAACCCCTTTATTTTTCAGCGGGGGAACTGAGGCCCAGAGAGGGAAAGGGGCTTGCCTAAAGTCACAAAGCCAGTTACCACTTCAGAGCTCATCCTAGAGTCAAGAAGTCGTACCTGGAATGTTCTCTCTCCTGGTTTCATTCCAGGGAGAGAGGCTGTTGGTCACAAAGTGACTGAGCCAGTTTGTTGAGAGATCTTGAACAAGTGGTTTATTTCTGCTCTGGACCTTGACTTCTGCATCTTCCCGGTGAGGGGCTGGAGGTAGATAATTTCTGGGCACATAACACTCTGGTCTCTGGTGTGATCATGCCCCAGCCTTAAGGACACGGTGTGAAATTAAGACATATTGAGGCTTTTGCAAATTGTCCCCCAAAATTACAGCCCACACGTCTTTTCCAGGAAGCTATGACACCAAATGTGCCACCAAAATGACAGAGTGAAAAAATAAAATAAAATAAGAGAAAGACATGGGATTCGTAAAGCAGGAGATACAATGCAGGGGAGAGGCAAAGACAATCGCCATGATGGTTATAAAGGAAAATCCTGGGATGACAGCTTAGCATGTACAAAGGTTGGAAAAGGAGAACGGAGGGCTCCAGGACTTATGTCTTTAGGAAAATAAATGGAAGAGGTGAATTATCTGATACATTTGCTAATGTAGAAAATAGTGGCGTAGAGAACTAAGCAAATAAAATTATTAATATCTCCAGTAAGAAAAGTGTGTATAAGAAAGGAAGTATAATTATAGTACAGTGCTTAGCTTAGCAGTAAACAAGACATAATAATTCAGAGTGAATTTTGATTCGGTCAAAAATTATATCTGGGGCTTCCCTGGTGGCACAGTGGTTGAGAGTCCGCCTGCCAATGCAGGGGACACGGGTTCGTGCCCCGGTCCGGGAAGATCTTACATGCCACGGAGTGGCTGGGCCCGCGAGCCATGGCCACTGAGCCTGCGCGTCCGGAGCCTGTGCTCCACAACGGGAGAGGCCACAACCTGCTGAGCCCGCGCGTCCGGAGCCTGTTGCTCCGCAACGGGAGAGGCCACAACAGTGAGAGGCCTGCGTACCGCAAAAAAAAAAAAAAAAAAAAAAAATTATATCTGAACTGCATGAGGGAGAGAAAACAGGGTCCTAGAGTGATGGAAGAGGGATGAATCCTCATCTGTCATATATAGGAATTCAAAAGGAAATGTCCAAAATTGATAAAAAAGAAACCATGTAAGCGTATTATCTTTTAACGTCAATAAATGCCAGAAGAAATACCCAAAAGAGTTTGGAGTGGGGGAGGGTTGAGGGGTGTGTATGAAGATCACACACAATTTTTCATTATAAGCTTTATGGTATTATTTGACTTTATAACAATGTGAGTGTATTATTTTTATTATTTTTTAACTGGGGGGGAAAAAAAAAGCAGTGTAGCCTGAAGCAAAGCACACAAGCTCTGGATTTGCACAGCCTCGTTCAAATCCCAGCCCTGCCAACTGCTAATTGCCTGACTTAGTCACGTTGTGAACTTCTCTGAGGCCCCATTTCCTCTCCGTATCTATTCAGTAAGGATGCAGTGTGATTAAGTAACGTGTGGAAAGCTCTTAGCCCAGGCCTAGTGCACAGGGAGCCCACGACAGAGGAGCTGTGCCCACGGCCCACCAGTGCTGCTGAGGCTTGGGGCACCTTTGCTCAGAGCTGACACCTCACTTCTCACCCACCAATGTGCTGCCCCAAATCCTCTGGGAGAGGCAGCCTAGTTGCAAATCACCGCCTGCAGTTGGAAGTATTGATATTTCTGCCCTTGTAACTTTCCATTCATGGCACATATTTGAATGAAACCATGGATCGTTTCTCTCCATCCACAGCTCCTCCCCAGCAGCTGTCACTGGGCTGTCAGTCCTGCCACTCTGGAGCACGACAGTGTAAGGACATGTGCCTCCCCCGCAGGAGCCCTCCCAAGGGTATTCTGAGTCCATGACTCAGCTCATCCAAATATGTCCTCAAGATGTGATGACACTGTCCAGCTACTTGTATGTGATGTGGGAGATAGGAAGGATCAGAAATGTAACTGTGTCTCTCCCAGATGCCCTCTCCTCCTCTTGATGCCTTTCTGACTGACCCCCAGTTAGCTCACAGCTCTCTTGCCTCCCATAGGTGACCACCATGATCCCCTGGGTGCTCTTGGCCTGTGCCCTTCCATGTGCGGCTGACCCGCTGCTTGGTGCCTTCGCCCGCAGGGACTTCCAGAAGGGCTCCCCTCAACTCATCTGCAGCCTGCCTGGCCCCCAGGGCCCCCCGGGCCCCCCAGGATCCCCAGGGACCTCAGGAATGGTCGGAAGGATGGGCTTTCCAGGCAAAGATGGCCAGGATGGCCAGGACGGAGACCGGGGCGACAGCGGAGAGGAAGGTAAGAAGCCCAGTGCCTGTCTCTCCTGTTCCCACCTGGGGTTGACAACATCTGACATGAAAGGGGTTTGCGAAGTTATGAAAACTAATGTGAATCCCATTTCATTGTAAACCAAATTAATGTGTCTTTAAAGAACAGAGCAGTATATTCTCTGGAAAGGAACAGTGAGCATCAGATCTTCTGTTCTTGCCCCAGCTGCACTGTTGATGTGCTGAGTGACTTTAAGCAAGTCTCCTGAAATATTATTCAGAACTCTTTCAGTCACAAGTGACAGAAACCCAATTTATAGCCCCAAATGGAATTTATTGGCTCATACACCTAGAAAGTCCAAGAGCTGAGCTTCAGGAATAGCTGGATCTAGGAGCTCAAATATTGTTGCCAAGGCTTTGCTTCTCTCTGTGTGTTGGTTTTGTTCTCACAAAGGTTGGAAGTTATGAAATGCCCACTGGTGGGCTCAAGCCTACCTCCTCATGGCTTGATCCACAGAGCAATTCTCAGGATGACTGAGTCTCCTTGATCACATGTGCATCCTGGACCAATCCCTCTGACTATGGAGGTGAGGTACCACCATTTGCTAGGACTGGGTCAAGTGCCCACCCCTTGGTGTGTGTGAGTGTGTGGTGAGGGCAGTTGGCCACTGTGACTGACAACCTCCCTAGGACCACATGAAGTAGTGAAGGGCAGTTTCCCGAAGGAAGGGGTGCCAGGCAGGCAGCAGGCAAGTTGGATACTGTCTACAGGCCTTCTCATCCTTGACGTTCCTTGTATCTCTGAACGCTTACCCCAGTAACCAAGCACCTTTCAGCGTCAGCAGCATCCCAAAGTGTACATTTCAAGCATTAGTGAAATCATAATTTTTATTTGTATGGCATTTTAACATCAACAAAGCACTTTTGAGTACGCTGCTCATTTGCTGGTACAGCAATACCATCCTATGGATGAGGGATTCTTATTATCCCCATGTTACAGATGAAGACACAAAATCAGAATGATTAAGTCAAGAACAGCACGTCGTAGCTGCAAGAACTTAAACTTTGTAACAAACCTGGACACCACTTTTGACAAATTACCTCGCCTGTCTCCAAAACTCAGTTTCCTCTTCTCTAAACTTGGGATTATAACAGGACCTACCTCACACGGGTGCAGTGAAGGTGAAATAAAATAACATGGGAAGCACCTGTCTCAGAGTAGACATACAATAAATGGTAGTTGCCCCTTAATAGACTTGCTGAGCTCACACCACAGGCTGGTAGCAGACTCCAAATCCAGGCCCTTTCCTACCAGATCAAACTAATTCCTCCAAAAGCACCTCCTTTCCAGAAGGATAACTATAAAAATAATGATGATGGCTTTAACTTAAGGGGGGGTCAGAGTATGTCAGGCACTGGACAACATAGTTCCCATTTCCTGACCACGGTGGTCAATTGGGATCTGAGCGTGTGCTCCAAGCAGAGCCAGCCAGAGTTTGCATGACATTTTATGACATGATCCATCATCCTTATGAACCCTAAGAGAAACAGGATATCTCTGCTCTTGACTTTCCTCACCTTGATTAAGAACTCTGAGGATGTAGGTTTGGGGCTGTTTTGGCTGTCTGTTCTGCCATGTATTGAGTTTCTGCTGAGAATTAATCCAACACACCTAGGAAGGCAATGTTGAGAGATGCAGAGTCCTGATACACATAACCCAGATAAAGCTGGGTCATCCTGGGACCAGTCATAGGACAGGATAATCTCCAACCACCCTCCCCCTGACATACACATACAAACCCACCTCCAGAAAGATCTTGACAAGTAAAAGTCAGCTTTTCCAGAAGTTTCTCAAAAAAGGAAATCAAAAAGGAAGCACACACCATAACACGTCATAAAACTTCCTTATCTATTTGTCTTCCCAAAAAACTCCAATCCAAAATGACCCTGTCTTTATTCCTCCTCTTCTCACAGTCCTTTCTCCCACCTTTCATTTATTTTCATTTTTTCAAACAGCTTTTTGACCTTTCTTAGTTTTATTTTTCCCCATTCCTTTCATTTATTTTTAATTACACGTATAATCATATAATACACAAATACATTTTCATTGTAATATATTCAAACAGTATAAATAAAGCAAGATTTCTTCTTAATTCTTACCCCTCGTCATCCTCCTTTCATCCTCCAAAGGTAACCACTATTAATTGGTTAAATGTATAACCTCCCTGGCCTCTTTCATATATTTACATGTATGTATAATAATGCCAAACACTTCCAGGCACTCAGCATAAGCAATCCATTCCTGGAAACTAGATGTTCAGTGAGAAAATGCTATTTGGAAATCTATTTCCCGGTTACTTAAAATAGGAAAAATTTAAATGCATTACACATTAACACAAAACTCTAAAGCACAGAAAAATCCCTGTATGTGTACATGTAAGGAGCCAAGTACCTTGTTAGGATGTAAAATATCTGCAACATTACCTGCTGATCACCCAGTTTGTAGGATGGTTAACGAACACTTGCTTTGTGTGCTGTGATGCTAAGACACTGCTTAGCACCTGGCAACCCCTCCAGCAGCAGGCTCCCTGACTGACATCTGGCATGCTTTCCAAAACATCTACCCACAGCTCTGCCACTCTGCCAGTTGTGTCAACTGTACCGCCATTGTGTTTGGATGTGACTCTAGTCGTTACCCAGATACAGTTTGTATAAAATGTTGTATTGAGTTTGGGGGACATAAATATAAATGTTTCCCACATAGTCATCAGCCAAAAAATGTTGTATTGAGAGAAATGCACATTATTAGAGTATGGGTATTAAAAACCCAGAGGTGTTCTCCAGGCACATATTACTGTGAAAATGTTCTGCAGGCTATACCAAGTGTATTTAGCAAGTGTTTACTATGTGCCAGGCACTTAAATGGGTGTAGAAATAGCGTTGTGGTTTCCTCTGAACAAAAAGAAGTTTCTGCCACCTGCTTGTTCCTCTTCACAGTGTAGTTTAGAGAAGTTTTCAAACAGTGCACGTAAATCTGCCTCATTTTTTAAACTCCTGCAGAGAATTGCACAAAATGGATGGACCATCATTTTTCTCATTATCTCCCTTTGGTTGGGCATTTAGTTGTTCCTAGTGTTTTGCTATTGTAAGCAATGCTGCTGTAAAAACCCTTGCCCACGTGGGCAGGGATCTTGGGCACTGGGCAGGGAGTTCACTAAGGTCAACGGTTTGAAGTCAAGAGGCTTCTTGCAATTCTTGTCTCAACCCATTACCAGCACAGCCGGGGGGAAGGATTGACCTGGCAGACAAATCAGACTCTTCCTTAGAAGGCAGGACAAGGCGAGGGCGTGAATTGTTACAAGTTATTTTTGCCCTGATCCACATGATTCTGGAAGGTATGTGTCACATTCGCATTTTCCAGATAAGAAGAGAGAAGTGCCCCTGGTTGTACCATCAGGATTCGCACCCATTTCTATGCGACTCCACAGCCTTCGTGTTCTTTCCCTTATCCAAAGGCTTGTGCTCTAAGGATGGAAAGCCCAGGCCAACGGCCTCTGCCTAATTCTCTGAGGTCCCCTCCATAACACCAGCTGCTCTGTCTTCCAGGTTCACCTGGCCGGACAGGTAACCGGGGAAAGCCAGGACCAAAGGGCAAAGCAGGGGCCATTGGGCGGGCCGGCCCTCGCGGCCCCAAGGGGGTCAGTGGTGCCCCAGGAAAGCATGGCACACCGGGCAAGAAGGGGCCCAAGGGCAAGAAGGGGGAGCCCGGACTCCCGGGCCCCTGCAGCTGCGGCAGTGGCCACGCCAAGTCGGCCTTCTCCGTGGCAGTGACCAAGAGCTACCCAAGGGAACGGCTGCCCATCAAGTTCGACAAGATCCTGATGAACGAGGGCGGCCACTACAACACGTCCAGTGGCAAGTTCGTCTGCGGCGTGCCAGGGATCTACTACTTTACCTACGATATCACGCTGGCCAACAAGCACCTGGCCATCGGCCTGGTGCACAACGGCCAGTACCGCATCCGGACCTTCGACGCCAACACGGGCAACCACGATGTGGCCTCGGGCTCCACCATCCTGGCTCTCAAGCAGGGTGACGAGGTCTGGCTGCAGATCTTCTACTCAGAGCAGAACGGGCTCTTCTATGACCCATACTGGACCGACAGCCTCTTCACGGGCTTCCTCATCTACGCCGACCAGGACAGCCCCAATGAGGTGTAGACAGGCCAGTGCTGGGTCACCGAGGAGGGCACCAGCTCCTGAACTTGGGCTTCCAGAGCAAGACCCCTAAACTTTCTGTTGGGAACTGGAAGTTTGGACCTTCTAACCTCTGGCCGACCTCCTCTGCCCCTCTGTTCCTCCATCATTAAATCCAAGCTTCTTTATTCATCCTTCCATCTATCCATTTGCTAATTTTCTTAATATGTACTATGTGGCGGGCACTGTGCTACACTCCAGAAGGTACCTCAGTGAACAAGACAGACGGTGGTTCTCTCCTCGTGGGGCTTACATTCTAATGGGAGAAACAATTTACAAACAAACCAACAAATAGTATAATTATTGTGGCAAGATGGAGATGCACATGCCATGGTTGAGAGTAATAGAAAGAACAGGAGACAGGGAAAAGGGTGAAATTGTTTTTTTAGATATCATCTTTTGGGGTTTACTTACATAAAGTCTACAAACCTTAAATGGACAGCTCAATGAATTTTCACATATGTACACACCTTGTCACCTCCATGTAGATCAAGAACAGAATATCTCCAGCCCCCCCAACTCCTCAAGGCTCTCTGAAGTCCCCTCCAAGTCAGTACCAAGAAGACGTTAATTTTTAAGCTGGGCCCTAAAACAGGAGATATAGCAAGGCAAAAGCGGGGAGGGGTGTCCTGGCAGAAAGAGTGGCAGGTGTGGAGGAAAGAGCTTGGCACAGCTGCGGAACTGGCCGAAGGCCAGAGGGATGGGTGAGTGAGAAAGGAGATAGGGACCTGAGGTGCGAGGCTGGAAGTTTACCCGGAACCTCACAGGTCATGGCAAAGAGTTCATTCAGCTCAAGAAAGCAGGAGTGAGCGTGACAGTCATACAGGGATAACCTTGAATCTGCTCCACGCGTGAGGCAAGTCAGTGTCACACTTAAGCCCTTCGTTATTAGTTACAAATCACCTGCAGGCCCGCTTCTCAATCAGTGAGGTACTTGGGTTGCCCCCAGCACGCCTGAGAACCACTAGGCGGACGTGAGTAGTGTACAGATGAATCTCTTCCCCCACCACAGGGGTTTCCAGCGTGCAGGGATCTGAGTGGGTGGTGCTGAGAAGCCTCCCAGGTTGATTGCTGGGGAGAACTTTCTGATGGAGCCGCAGGTCCCTGGCAGATTGGGTTGACCGTCTTCTAGCTGGAAAAGTGGGGCTGGGGGGAAAAGGAAAGGAAAGGAAACGCTGCCTGAGGTGGTCCTGGAAGGGGTGGAGCCCTCCGTAAATGAAATGGAGTTTACTTAAAATAACTCCATTCTCTTTAGGCCACAAAACATATGAGTTTGGGATGAGTCTGAGAAACCCAGGAAGGAGTTTGGGGCCCAAGCAGATTAGTGTGTGGTTGGGGTCCTGCCCAGCACCCCTGTAGGAAAGGGCCAGCTTCTGAGCTCGAGGCATTTTTGTCTATGAACAATTCTTTTGTCTTTTCCTTTCTTCCTTATTTTCCATTCTTAAAAAGAGCACCTTTAGCCGCTTCCTCTCCCTCCCCCCAGGGATTCAAGCATTTGAAGGCAGTTGACTCAACTCTGTGAAGCCTCGGTAATAAATGCAGCCTGAGCAAGGTGGGCAGGACCCCAAAGCTCTGTGGTTGCCACTTCGGGGCCTGACCTAAACCCATGTCCCCTTGGCAGCCTGCCAGGGAATCCCCAGGGAAGGTGGTGAGGATAATGGGGTGGGGGGAGCCTAGCACTCTTTGTAGGGGATTGGGCAGGTGGAGGCAGAGGCCTTGCAGGACCAAGTTCTGGGGTCTCGTCTTCCTTGGATGTGGCCCAGGGCTGCTGGAAGTGGTGAGGTGGGAGCGCTGGGTTGGTGGCAGGTGGGCAGAAGTAGGTGACACAGTTGAGGGGGGTCTCTGGTAGCCAGTTGATGGCAAGGAGGAGGGCTGGTGTGTCCCCTAACACTTCTGAGGGTGGCTGACTCCTTGGTGCCTTGAGTACTTGGAGTCTTCCAGCAGGTGATGCGGGATGTAGGCCCAGCTGAGGAAGGTGTTCCAACGAGGTGGCCTCTTCCCAGACATGCTGGGGCACCAGACCCTCCTCCTAGTCTAGCTACTTACTGTGGGCCCCTGCAAATAGGGCCTATCTTTAAGCCTTCATGCTTTTTCGTCTTGTGTTAAGTTTTATTTATTTATTTATTTTTATTTGTTTATTTTTGGCTGCACCACGTGGCTTGCAGGATCTTAGTTCCCTGTCCAGGGATTGAACCTGGGCCCTGGCAGTGAAAGCACTGAGTCCGGCCAGGGAATTCCCTAGGCCTTCATGCTTTAGGCATTGAGGAAGACCCAGAATTCAGTGCATCTTTGTGCAATAAAATTGCCCTTGGCCCCAGGGTCTTTTCTCATAAGGGACACTCTTCAAAAGGCAGCCGTTATCAAAGAGAAACAAAGCTGAACACTAGGGGGCTTCCCTGGTGGTGCAGTGGTTAAGAATCCCCCTGCCAGTGCAGGGGACAAGGGTTCAAGCCCTGGTCCAGGAAGATCCTACGTGCCGTGGAGCAACTAAGCCCGAGTGCCACAACTACTAAGCCTGAGCTCTAGAGCCCGTGAGCCACAACTACTGAAGCCCGCATGCCTAGAGCCCGTGCTCTGCAACAAGAAAAGCCACTGCAATGAGAAACCTGCGCACCTCAACGAAGAGTAACCCCCGCTCGCTGCAACTAGAGAAAGCCCATGCACAGCAAGGAAGACCCAAAGCAGCCAAAAATAAATGAAATAAATTTCAAAGAAAAGCTGAACGCTAGTTAAAGTGGTAAGGACTGATTTTAATCAGTAATATACTATTGTAGTATATTACTGCATTGGAAGAGTCCGATGTGAATTGGGCTCACTTTGCTTTATTCAGCAGTGACTGGGAGGATGAGGGAGTGGGGATGGGGCTGACTGGGGGCTCTGTAGACTCAGGGAAAAGGGGGAGGGGACTGGTCCAGGTGAAGCCCTTATGGACTTGCTAACTGGCCTCTATAAAAATGGGGCTCCTGGGCTTCCCTGGTGGCGCAGTGGTTGAGAGTCCGTCTGCCAATGCAGGGGACACGGGTTCGTGCCCCGGTCCGGGAAGATCCCACATGCCACGGAGTGGCTGGACCCGTGCGCCATGGCCGCTGAGCCTGCGTGTCCGGAGCCTGTGCTCCGCAACGGGAGGGGCCACAACAGTGAGAGGCCCGCGTACCGCAAAAAAAAAATGGGGTTCCTACGTTCCCACAGAGACTGGGAAACGGGCGGGCAGATGTTGGCTGGAACAAACAGTACATTATTTTGGCTGCCTTGAGTGTTTTCAGGAAGCCACTTTAAGGGGGGCATGGGTCACGGGGCCTTGAGCTGTTGGAAACGATGTTAGTGTTTGTTCAAGTCTTTATAGGCCCAGGTTGACAGGCCTAGTAAAGAAGAGGGCTCAGAGGAGCCTGGCTAGAGTTTGGGCAAGGAGAGGTTCTTTGTCACCGTTCGCTTCTGGAGAAAGTCTGGGAAATATGCAGTTCTGATTATTTCAGTGCAAAAGCAGCAGACCACACTGCCCTAACAGGCTGGCCCAGCCCAGCCCTCTCCAGGCCTCAGGGCAACTCCGACAAGTGAGGGGGTCAGCACATCAGGTATCTGTGGGTTCTTCCAGGGCCACCTTCTGGATTAAGACTATGGTCGGAAAATAAATAAAGAAACAAACAAATAAATAAGTAAATACTTTAAAAAGACTACGATCGGGGGAGGCAAATGGGGCACTCACCTCACGTGCAAAATTTAAAGGAGGTGCCCCCAAAATAATCAATATAAATAATATTTTAATTCAATGTCTTAATAAATCAAAATTAATACCAAAAAGTGTTTTGATGAACAGAATATCACAATTTTAAGTAAAGATGGGATCTGACGGTGCTGGCATTAGGGTGAGGTAAGGGAGGCCCGGCTGTGCAAGCTGCATCAGACCCCTTGGGAAGCCAGGTCCTGGAGGCAGAAGCTTCTTCACTCCCTGCCTGTCATCTTCACTCATTCCACTAGGGGGCGAACGTCTACCACACAAACCTCCAGTCCTGAGGCTTACAGGCTGGAAGATCTACCCTGGTTTCTTCTCCAGGCTGTTTTCTAGATTCTGAGCCAAAGGAAAAAAGAGAGAGAGAGAAAGAGAGAGAGATTCTGATCCGTGACATTATTCGACCATGACCCTCAGCTGGAGAAAAGAAAAAGAATAAGAACACAAGAACCACACATCTTTCTAGCATTTGCAGTTAAAGGGATTTCACACACATTCTAAATTACAGAGGCAGCTGGTAGAGTGCAGGAATACTGCAGTTGTCCGGGAAAACAAGAAATCTGGGTTCCAGTCCCAGCTCTGTCTTCTTCTGATTCCTTGTGTGGCTTTGGCCAAGCCATTTCATGTCAGGTGGCCTCAGTTTCCCTATCTGTGAAACGAAGGATTGAATCAGATGATCTCAGAATCCATTTTGGCACTAAACATTTATGCTTCTGTCTCCAAAGCAGAGCTAAGAGCCTGACATTCCTGAAACATAAATTAAAACAGCTGGATGAATCAGGCCAGCATGTTCTGAAGCATTGAACGTTCACATCTGGCCCTCTGCTTCCACTGAAGACAATCAGTGGTTGCTGTTATTAGGTTTCCTGAGCTGGAAGATAATAACATTATTATCTAACTGAACATTAGCCACATGCTGGGTGTTATGTCTCTTCTCAGCTTCTCCACACCCCTGTGAGCAGCTACTACGATCAACATCCCCACTTTACAGATGGGGAAAGTTGAGTTCTAGAGAGCTTGGGTCAATGCCAAAGGTCAATGCAATGGGACTGGAACCAAGCGGGTGCATCTAGAGGCTGCACTTTCAGCTACATTGGCCATGAGCGGGCCCCTTTGTGGGCAGTAGGCCCTCCCCACCACCCTCTGTGCCCCCTGTGGAGGGGAGCCAGAGAAATGTGGGCAAGTGCTCTGACTTGGAAGCACTCCTATGTGGTGGGGTTTGGGTCCCAAGTATTTCCCTCCCACGAAGCAGGATCCTGTCTAGTCAGTTACAGATTTCATCTCAACTCAGCAGACATCTCTGAAGGCCTCACTGTGGTCAGGGATGGCGCCTGTGGTCCCCAGGACAGGTGGGGAGTCAGAAGCTCGCAGGGTAGAGAAGGGTGTGGACACAGCTGCACCTCC